CCGGGCACTCAATTTGAAACACAATGCTGGCTCATCATCTTCCTGCCCATATTCCAAATCAGTTGGGATCCGCGCAACATGATTTGCGGCAGCATAAGTTAGAAAAATGATTTGGCTATGTTTCATGACCGGTCGCCTGCCTGATGTCATTCCTCTTAGCTGGTATCACCGCCACCATGCGGTTGACCATAGTCGATAGATATTTAGCCAAAGTCAGAAACTGTACGTCGCCTTTTGCGAAACACCCTGAGAGGACTAGGGTTGGCAGTATTCTTAGCTACTACACTGCTGGCTATCTTGAGTTTATTTGAATGACGTCTATAAGATTTCTTCTGAGACTTGGACACCGAGTCGTCCAACGCCCAGTGTCAAGAGTTTTTCAACCGCCTACTGCAAGTGTCTGCAAGTAGCAGACCTCTGACATGGTCACGACCGCCGTCTAAGTAATCATAGACAGTCCTCGCGATCGACGGCTTAACGTGCCCTCCGATGCACGGAACCATCATCCTTTTCGGAAAATCAACCTGCAATGCCCTAACCAGACCAAGTACAAATTCACAAAATGATAAATATCAACTAGGTGAGTGACCCCACCCGGAATTGAATCCGGAACCTTCTGCGTCGCAGGCAGTCGCAGTACCACCAGCAATGTACAGCAAATCTGGTGTCAGGGCGTAAACAAGTGAATAGCCCCTTCTACAATGTAACTCAATTTAGGAAATCGTCGCTTATGAATATTGCGTTATGCGCGGAATATTGCATGATAAATTACATTCTCCCCTTTTTGTGTGGGCGTTACTGTAACACCCAGATTGTCAAGATTATGATTATCAGGCGTTTCCATAATTTTATCATGTCGTCCTTTTGCATACATTGGGGGTTGAACACCTTGAAATACTTTTAAGGGTAAATTACAGGAAACTTGCAGAGTTCATTATGCAGCCAGGATTCAAATTAAGGATTTTGCAAGTTTCTGTCGTAATTCTTAGGAAATAGTAATTCAAAAGTAAAAATTTGAATATACATAGTCTAAAAAGAAAACCTATAAGCACGGAATCATAAACCGAATGTCGAATCCGTCTTATGCAATGTTTCACAGAATTTTGAAGATGAAGATGTACCTATGTACAGTTTAAATTGACATGTCTGTGAACTTTCCCAACAAAAATCTCCCTCTATCTAAATTCAAAACTCTTTCTGTTTTAGTATAAGCACCCTTTTAAAAACCTGTCAACTCATACAAATATTTGCACCTACCTACTTGTCCTTCTACTCCCTGTCCAGATATCTAATCTTTGAAACTAACCACAATGTCTGTTTTACAGGGTGACCAAGTCCAAATAACGCTGTCGGCGCGTCTCCGCAAGGAACAGTATATGGCGTTTGGTATATCTGGTGCAGAAGGCAGACCAGTCATGCTGGGCTCTGACGTGGTAGTCGCTTATTGGGATACCAGGTGAGAAACGTCCACTGCTGGACATATGCATCCCTCAAGCTCCAACAAGACCGTCGGTCCTCTGGTATGAGGTTGTTTTCAGAACCTTCGCAAGGGACAGTACATGGCGTTTGGTATATCTGTGGCCGAGGCAGGCCAGTCATGCTGGGTTCTGACGTGGTAGTCGTTTATTGGGATACCAGGTAAGAAACGTCCACTGCTGGACAATACAGGTGCTTTCCTAGACAGCGATGCCGAAGGCATCTTACAAAGACTACCTAAGTGGAGCAAAAGTCTGTCCTACACTGCGCTTTCCGATGCTTAGCCACAAAAATACATGGTGTTTGTAATCTTGATGGGCTGAAGGCAGACCTCCCTCAATCTGCCTCTGTCCTGTGATACGAAGCTCTTTCCAGAACCTTCGCAAGGAACAATACATGGCGTTTGGTATATCTGGAGCCGAAGGCAGACCAGTCATGCTGGGCTCTGACGTGGTAGTCGCTTATTGGGATACCAGGTAAGAAATGTCCACTGCTGGACATATTATGCCTCCTCTCAAGCAACTACAAGACCGTCGGTCCTGAGGTAGAAGGCTTTTTCCAGAACTGTTGCAAGGAACAATACATGGCGTTTGGTATATCTGGAGCCGAAGGCAGACCAGTCATGCTGGGCTCTGACGTGGTAGTCGCTTATTGGGACACCAGGTCAACATTCCACTGCTGGACATTTTATGCATCCCTCCTGTAGAAGGTTTTTTCCAGAACTTTCGCAAGGAACAGCACATGGCGTTTGGTATACCTATCTGGGGCGGAAAGCAGAACATCCATGCTATTCGGTGATGTGGTAGTCGCTTATTGGGACACCAGGTGAGACGCCCACTGTTTGACATAAGCCTGCTCCAGGTGCTTCCATAGACGGTGAAGCCGACAGCATCCTACAACGACTATCTAAGAAAAGAGGCTCCTAATGCGCTTCCCATGCGTGACCACAACAATACATGGCGTTTGCAATTTCTGGGGCTGAAGGCAAACGAGCTATGCTCGGTGCTGACATGGTAGTCGCATATTGCGACACTATGCGAGATATCTTCAGGCTTTTCTTGAAACGTTTGCTCAAGTAGCTCGCTTTTGAGGATGAGGCAAGTTAGTATTTACGCAGAAGAAACAAAAAAAGTTGGTTTAGGTAGTTTTTGTTGGTAGTTTTTGTTAACCCTTGGTTACTGGAGCCGATATCTAACATTAGGTAAGTCTATTCAAAATAAAAGTCAGCAGAAGAGAAAGGGAGTTGGTAAAGCCTTCCTCAGGTCATTCGTCGACTTTATATCTCATGCGCAAAATAAGAAGAACATGACTCAGCATTTAAGTCATTGACAAAATAAAATGGTGAACAAGCAACACTATATAAAACCAATTTCTAGTAAGATTCTAAATTTATTTTCCAGGGTTGACCAACCGCGCGTGGCAGACTACACGATTTCTCATCTAGCCCAATGCGATGGGGAACGAGGAGTTTGTCCGGATCACAGGCTGGGCGGAAGCAATGATGTTGTCCTAGGTGAGTGTTGACCAAGGTGAACCTCTGTTGACCAGAGGAGACGACCAGGAATATGTCGGGGAACGAGGATTGTGCCCTGATCAAAGACTAGGCGGGAGCAATGATGTTGTCCTAGGTAAGTATTGATCAAGGTGGACCTGTGTTGACCAAAGTCGACCAATATTGACCAGACGTGAGTGGCAGAATACATGACCATACACCTGGTGCAATTTGACAGCGAATGAGGATTGTGCCCTGATCAAAGGCTGTTTGGGAGCAATGATGTTGTTCTAGGTAAGTGTTGACCCAAGGTGGAACTGTGCTGACCAGAGTTGACCAATATTGACCAGCCTCGCTTTGTAGACTACATAAAATTCACATATCTCACGCAATGTGACGGCGAACGAGGAGTATGTCTGGATCAGAGATTTGGCTGATGTTGTCGTAGGTAAGAAAGCATTGCATAAAATAAGGTGCGGGCAGGGAAGGTCCTCCTGCAGCTTCAGCACAATGAATGGCGAACGACGTCTCAAGATCGGGATAGCTGGCGACTTCCGGTGTTGGAGGCCAAGATCCTCTTTGGGTCACTGAGCCACCGTAGTAAATAGGTAACGGAAGGTCAAAGTCGCCAGTTCGATACTCAAACCGCCAAAGTACCTACCTATCTAAAACTTATACGCGAGGCATAAAAGATCTAAAGTCAAAACTGTCTAACCCACTCTGACCTTGACCCAACAGTAGTCCTTATGTTTATTTATAGTCTTAAGCTGCAGTCGAAGGTTACACGAACAGCAACAGACTTTTAACCATGACCTGACCTACGACAAAATATGTACCCACGCTTTCGAACAGCACCCACACAATCCTTGCTGTGCCACCTACACAGTTTATTTTTAAACTTGTTTACTAGCATATTTCAGTCTGTCTAGAGACGTGCGATTTAAGATAAACGTAGTTGTTGAGGTCGCTTTTCAATTAAGTTACTGTCGTATTTTGATCAATCCATTCATAAGCCTTTTGAGTGCCTGTATTTATTACAATCTACCTACTCAACTTCTATTAATAACCAGAGGTTTATTCACCTCCAAGTCTCCATTACCACAGTTAAAATAAAAAACATATTTTTGAGGGACAACAACCTACCTAGACGATCTTTTTTACTTCAGATTGTTATTTTTATTAGTTCAGTTCATGATTAGGTTCTCTGATATTAATCAATAAAATGCTGTGGCTTTTCCAGTATCTGGTGCCCAGAAGAACGGCGTCACCACCATAACGTACCGGCGGCCGATATCAGCCACAGAATCCGGCAAAGACCTGGAGATCCAAACGTCACGGTCGCAATCCGTGATAGCTGCATTCGGCCCTCTCAACTCGAGATATGAAGCCAACGCTCACTCCTTCATGGACACCACGAGGAACGATGTGCAGTTGGACTTCGGCGTTACTGTGAGTTTTCCTCCAGTGCCTGTTGTTTCTTTTGGTAATGTTTTAAGTTTAGGTTTTTGGCCGTGTAGTCTTTATCAACAGGTTTCAGTAGTCTCGACGCAAGTAGCCGAAAGCGTGTCCAAGGCCGGCATATATTGCACAATGCAACACAAGTAACCCAAGGCTTGCTAAGCCGACATATACTGGGTGCAGCAGTCTCTGTATAAGAAGTCCAAGGTTGGCTAGTTGGCTACGCCGGCTGCGGTTGCAGCAGTCTTGGCGGTTGCGCCAGCATATACCTAGTGGGTGGCCTCCCACTGCAACCCGTGGGCCCCGTAGAGTTTATACGGTGGCGGTAGCTATTTGATTCGCACACTGCATAAAATATGGTCCTTGGCTTAAGTAACCCTGAACGCAGGGCCCTTTCGGACCAGCGCCTTAATAGTGCGTCGAAAGGGTGGATACTCTCAATAGGATGGATTTCGGCCGTTTCGTTTTCCACCCAAAGTTTGAGAAGATGTTTCTGTGATATGCGATAAATATATTGAAATTGAACAGCAGCTCTATTGGGATTTTAATGCAATTTTGGCCGGCATCGATCGGTGCATCGGTAACTCAGTGGTAGAGCGGTGCGGCTTTGACCCATGCGGCCCGGGATCGAGCCCTGGTCGATGCATGAAATTTTTTCAATTTCTCATTTTCATTTATGAGAACAGCAGCTGTCTGACCCTGAAATTTCAATCAATCTCAAATACCTAGTGTTTACAAAGAACCCACTAGATAATCAAGGTATTTTTTCCTAGAACGACAACACTTGCCTCGGCCTAGCAGAACTAGACGTGGACGGACCCACTCCATGGCCTACCAGAGTGATAGCTGGAGTAACCAACTTCACTGCAAGGATTGGCCCGGCCGGCGGAGCTAGGGGGTATACTCCTATTACAGGTACGGAAATTGACTTCACTAGTCCAGTTGGTTTGGTTAATAGCGAATAACACACTATATAGGACAACAACAAAAACTTGTCACTTAAAGTAAATTCCGTTTCTTTACATGCAGACAATGATATAAGCAACGGATTTCTGCCAGGTAAGCAAGGACATACAGAATCAAATGCGTTCGACAACTTCGTGCTCGACCTTCCTGCGGGGTACAGACGGTCAGGGGACGTGCAGCGCGGATGCACGCGTGTCCCTTCCCCGCTATACCTCCCGCTACCCGCTGTGCTGGTATCAAGCCCCCTCGGGAAGGTCGCGCTACTTCTTGTTCTTCGTCGTAGCCTCATGGCTGAGGGACGTGACTGGACAATGTTCGTCATCAACTTTTTTACCCCTCCCATAGTAACTCAAATCAGCTGATCGGCAACTTTGTATGGGAGGTCCATTTCTTGTCATATTTTCTACCTATGTTCCTTGGGGAAACTTGTTCCTTATATCATCAGCCGGTTCTGAGTTTTCGCTATCGGTCACTAGTACTACGTTTATTAAAGGTATTCACTCACGTGTCTTCCCACAGGCCACCCGTCTTGGGGCATAGCGTGGTACATCAACGACCAGCTGATCCCAGAGATCTATGTAGAGAGGGGCAAGACGTACACCTTCTTCGTGGAAGGTGGTAACGACAGCACCAACCCTGCCAAGTAAGCTATCTTATCTTATTACCCGACTGCCTCAGTGGGAGGGTTATGTTTTTCGAGAGTGTGTATGTATGTATGTGGACAAGAAATATCTTTTTCACGGGCTACAGCCCAAACGGATAGTTGGATTTTGACATATGAGGTGTCGTTAGATTCGTCTCACCAGCACGAGTGACACTGGCTATATTAAAAAATTATAGATTCAAGATGGCGGATTTTTGCAGCAAAATACTACTTTAAAATTACCGCAGTCGGGTTTTTTGTTTTTTAACACAAATCTACTTGTTTTGTTTTTGAGGATGTAGAATGGGCAAATCTTTGCAGTACCTACTTACGTTTGAGGTAAGGCTTTGTCGTCATATTCTGCTTGAGTTTTTTCTGCTAGAACAGATAGGTACCTATAGAAAGACATCACAAGATGTTTCTATGTATCAAAGTTTGAAACAGTTTTCCAATGCCAGGTGAAAGTACTTACGTAAGTAATTTTTGTGTTGTAAGTATTATACATTTGAAGTGGCTGGTGGCTATCCTCAAAGATGAGGCCATATCATTCTTGCTTAAAACGTGACTCCATATTTTAAGATTTCTCTCATCATCAGGTTCCACCCGTTCTACATCAGCGACTCTTCAGAAGGAGGCTTTGGCCAGAAGAAGGAGGAAGACCAAAGGAAGCAGAGAGTCTTCGCGGGAGTTGCGTATGACAACGAGCAATATCCATTCCCTACTGCTGGTGAGATTTTGCACTTTTACTGTTCTATTTACTGTTAATGTTGTTGTTACTACTATTTCCTAGTATTATAAAAAGAAAACGGAGGTCGTGGAGCCGGTTACCAAGAGATCCAAGCGTTTTCTTAGCCAAGGAAATGTTTGTTCTCTTGAAACTCGTCGTAAAGCGAAGTTCCAGAGAATATTTCACTGCTGGACTTCGGCCATTTAGGTAGACGTAGGTATTTGTAAATTACATGCAACAGGCGAATTAACAAACGCAGTGCAAGATGTTAAATTTTTACGGAACGTTGGTGGTCTGATGCCGGCTTGGAATAGCATCACCCTAATTCTACCCGTGGAAGTCGTAAAAAGTTCCCTGGACAGGACTCTTGGATAGGACAGATTTTATTTACCTTTTTCTCTTATCTGTGGGTAGTAACGTAATGGTAGGGGAGACCGAGGGGTATTGGATCAGAGGGGTGTTGGATCAGCTTTGTTTTCTCGAAAAGTAGAAGCGTTAGCGAGCAGACTACAATGCAATTGTGCCTCTTTCTGCCTCTTGTTGACCCCTAAGTTAGCGTCCCTGACAAATAGCGCGCCGTTTTCTTTTTATCGGATCATCGTCAAAAAAATCGTCGAAAGTAAGTTTTCTGCTGTTATTTGTCAGGCTAATATTTTGGCGGTGCTTTTATATTTTCATTTAAGTTTTATACGATACGAAACCTTAAAAATTAAGGATTCAAATGACACTACTGGAACGTCTGGGTTCTCTGTGGTTTTATCTCAGTTTATTATTTTTGTCAAACTGGCAGGATTTTTCATACGAGGGGTGTTGGATCAGCCTGACCCAACACCCCTCGGTAAAATTTTGTATGGTTAATTTCATAGACGTACACGAACACCACGCGTGTTGTGCAGGCCGGGTGTAAGTAGGTGTTTACAGTTATTAATAAACTTTTCGATTTCATTTTCATTTACATTTTCATTTTTACTTTCATTCGCATTTGCATTTAATCTTCAGCTCCATCTGATAACTTTTTCATACGTCATATAAGCCAAGTGCATGCTCTGATAAACATGAAAATGTTATTGGTGGAATTTCTATTCTTTTTTTTTGTGGATTATTTATTATTTCTTTCTTTTTCAACGAGAATTAGAATGCGATTTCGAAGAATGAAAAATTCACATACTAACTTTTTCCCTCCATTTTGGGGATTGGGGAAAAGTAATAGGTTTCTGAATCTTTTCATTTTTTGTATGCTAAATCTAGTCTACTAGCGGCGTAAGTTAATCCCGAATTTAGTCAAAATACTTCGGATCGTCATACCGGTACCAAATTTTAGTATGTTAATAAACATGACATAAACTATAGAAAACCACCGGGAGACAAGCTGATGGGGGCTTGTCTCCCGCAGAAATGACGTCATCAAGATGGCGGCCGCCACATTTAGAAAACTGCAAATTATTTGAAAACCATAAGTTGCATTGTCATGTGCATGGTATCAAATAAAAGCTAATTAATTGTTCTACATATTTGTCTTGAACTACGACCAGGTCCATAGCATAATTTCGTAATTAAAAGACTTTATGTAAAAAAAAATCAGCAAATAATTTATTTGTGTGGCTATAGAATTCAAAATAATCATTTTTAACAAAAGTGACATAGAAGAAAAGTAACGTTCAATGCAATAGCTACAAAAATCTAAAAGCACTTTCTTGTTCGGATAAAGAGAACTTAAGTTACACTGATTTGAGTACAACGCTGTCTCTTTCCGCGCCACGACTATTTGTTGTATATGCACGGGTATGGTGTCAAATATAAGGTAAATAATTGTTCTGCATTATTCTTCTGAAGCACAACCAGCTACATAGCATAGTTATTGAATTAATATTAAAAAAAGAACCTTGAAACCTATTTTTTGTGGAGTTATAGAAACTCAAATAATACTTACTACGCTGACACAGCGACCTAAAGTGGATTTTGGCCTCCGCTGCAACTGCAATCCACACTTCCCTGTTCTGCGCAGTTTGCTTCCAATCAGGCTTTTGGAGTGAGTGCAAAGTGTCAAATATAAGGTAAATAATTGTTCTGCATTATTCTTCTGAAGCACAACCAGCTACATAGCATAGTTATTGAATTAATATTAAAAAAAGAACCTTGAAACCTATTTTTTGTGGAGTTATAGAAACTCAAATAATACTTACTACGCTGACACAGCGACCTAAAGTGGATTTTGGCCTCCGCTGCAACTGCAATCCACACTTCCCTGTTCTGCGCAGTTTGCTTCCAATCAGGCTTTTGGAGTGAGTGCAGGTCCTTCAGAATTTGGTCAGTCCAGCGATATCTAGATCGTTCGACAGGAACTCCGAAACAGGTTAGAGGCTTTGGAGGTCAAAAAATGCATTGAAAAAGGCTGGGAAATTTCCGAACCCGACCGAGACACACTAAAGAGGTGAGACTTAAGATCTTAGGGTGAAAGAAACTACACTGAAAGAGAAAATGGTGGACACAATGATGCGAAATAGATGTAGAAGAAAGAAGCGGAACAAGTTAGTGGCAGGATAAACACGATAAATTGTACACAAGATGCAAGAATACAATAAGAAATGCAAAAGGACACTTCCTAGAACGCAAAGTTGGAGAAATAAAGACACCAATCAGATCTAGTGAAATTCGTAAATTTTATCAGGAAATAAGATTGGTCAAGAAAAGATATCAGCCCGTCGCTCAGTTTCTTGAAAATGAGGAAAGGTACCTCGTTTCTGACCCGGAGAAGCTGAAAACTGAACGGTACAAATATTTTAAGGCCCTGCTAAATTGCTCGCTGATAGTTTTCAGTCTAAATTAGCGAGATATATGTGAAGCGGAAAGCTATTATGCACCTGAAGAACAACAAATGTCCAGGGATTGACTACATGCCGGTAGAACTGTGGAAGTATGGCAGAGGAGCACTACAGTCGCAAATGAGAATATTGTTACTCTAGAAGGAAGAAAATCTGCAAAAAGAGTGGAATATGGGAGTTATCTGCCCGATTCACAAAAGAAGCTCTTGAAATAAATTCTCCAACTATAATGGTAGGTACCTATCGTGCTACTCCCGACTGCCTACAAAGTACTGTCTTCTTGTCTCTCGGATGCTTTTGAAGTGGACACAGGGCTCAAACAAGGAGACGCGCTATCACCTATGTTGTTTAACTTGATGCTCAAACACGTGGTCCAAAAAGTTCGTTGATGGAGTGGAGTTAAACGAAATGCATAAAATAATAGGTTATGCCGGCGACCTGGCCCTAATAGGTAGAAGTGCTGCAGACGTGAAAGCAATGGCCAGTAC